AAGATACCTTTGCAGTGGGGACCAGATTAAAGCTTATTTAGGTACAGAGCTAGTGATCTAGTATACAAAGTGCAGTGAACTGTTGTGATAAATGTATCTTCTAATGTTCTTAAAGCCTTTTAAATTTAAAAGTTTTGCCTGATAGAGGAATCAATTCAGTGTTAACTTTTTAATCATTGTCTGAATAGAGGCTTCATGTTTTATTTTGTGTTAAATATACATACTTAAGGGACAAAAATAATTTTCTAATGTGAGTGCAGTTTGGTTAGTTGCTTTTGTAATTCTGATCTTTGGGGATAGTGCGGAACCTAACCATTGCTCCCCCCTTTTCCCCCCAATAAGAGACCACTTAATGCTTAGGGAATCAAACCTATTAGAATTTGAAAGGAATGCTTTGACAGACCTTCGATTACTTATCTGAGCTGGTAAACACCACCTTTCTTTTCTGGGCAGCAGGTTGTCACCCATAACACCTTGCAGTGTGTTGACCAGCAGGCCACATTGACAGTTGCTCTGCCCTTCCAGACGATGTGTGGTTGAAAGTTATCTTATTTTCTTAGCAGTGTTTCTAAAACCAGTCATTTGCATATCTCCATGATTTTTGCCAATATTTTACTTAGTCTTATTTTTAAAATTCTTTTTATTTAACATTAGTCTCTTTCCTAAACTATATTACCTGTGTAATCACAGGCGTGATGGGTCGTTTTAGCATTATGATGCATCTGTTAAAATGAAGTTGTTTCTGTATCACTTAAAATTGCCATGGTGCTACCAGTAGTGTGCTTACCCCTGGCTGAGAAACACTGACCTCAGCTCTTTGTTACATGGAGTTGAATACTGCTGAAGACTGCATTGACTCATCCGGACTACAGTTTTCCCCATGTAATAAATAGCAGCTTTGTTACTTTATTTAGTAACACAGTGAGCAGAGAAATGGCTATACAGCCTTCAGAAATGCTTAGTTGGTTGTATACTGAAATCTGTTAATATTTGGGACAGACCCTGGGCAAAATTGTTCCAAGAACTAACTTAGTAAATTACTAATTTTCCAAAATAAACATACTGATTTATTATCTATCTATTTACTTACTGTATTAAATAAATTACTGAAGCAATGCATTACTAATTATGGACTTGTTGGCGCTGGTGAAGGGGGTGAGAAGTTATAGTTTGGGGCAAGGGGCTCCTTCCTGTTCTCTCCAAATGTATACGGTGAAGTTGGACATCTCTTTCAGTTGATTAAAATTGTCTTAGTAAATAAGAAAGCTCCCTCAAATAATCACTCAGTTAACTTCCTCAATATGTAACCTATTTCAGAAATTGAAAGCTATGAAAAAAAAGTCCCTAAAATTCCTAGCTAACCACTCTGGGATGTAATGGGACCAATCTGCCTATATTTTGGTTCAGAAGAACTGAAATGATTCATATATATATGTGACTAAGAAATTTAACCTTGCTTCAAGAAGACATTCTTTCTCCAAAATAGAATCTTAGTCTCATACCTTGTAAGTGTCCATTTATTCTCTATTGAAGTATGTATATAACCCTTAAGTAGATATTTATATGAAGATGTCCACTGTCAGTTTAATGCTAATATATATCAATTACTATGAGTAATTATCAGTAATTTTCCACAATTTTTAAAAACTTAATCCTTGAACCTTTTTGACTTCCTTTCCTCTATTTTTACATTTCCTGTTTTCCCTCTTTATGTTCCCCTTCATATCTAAAAGTGAAAAATATATGTGATTTCTGATATCACTCAAGGAGAAATTGGTTTTTGGTCCTTGTGGCAGAATATACTTGTTTGTAGAACAGGTCGCATAGTGTGAGGAGCTCTGTAGTTGAGTGTTTGGTATTCGATCTATAGACGGCTTGTTGTTAGGCAGGTTTTAAACAGTTTGATTGTCATTGCAAAACTATTAAATTCCCTAATCATTTTTCTGGTTGTTATTAAGGGAAGTTTATTTTAATACGTTGAAATATAGGTCAGAAATTTACCTTAGAAACAATTTGTCTACTAATAAATATCTTTTCAGTAGCAATATTTCCTTTAATAACTGTTTATAAACAATACATATTTCCAGGGCAGATGTGTTTGCAAGAATTCTCACAGTCTGGACATTACCCACATGTGTTTCAATATTGTTCTGTAGAACAAAAATCCATCACTAGTGGAAATAATGTTTTGGGAATGCAGAATTAATCCAGATCCTTAAAATCTTAATTTACCAAAATATACTCAGTTATGAAGATTTTCAGTTTCCCCTGAAATTCTTATTTAAGCAAATAGAAAGATAATCTGATATTGTTAATTTAGTCAAATCAGTATGGACCCCGAAGATCATGCTGATGTTTATTATAATCAGATTGAATAATATTTATCAAACATTTAAAAAATCTATTATGGTCTGGCTGGTGTGGCTCAATGGTTGAGCATCAACCCATGCACCAAGAGGTCATGGGTTCGATTCCAAGTCCGGGCACATGCCCAGGTTGTGGGCCTGATCCCCCCGGGGGGGGGGAGGGGAGGCCTGCAGGAAGCGGCCAATGGATGTCTCTCTCATTGATGTTTCTATCTCTCCCTCTCCCTTCCTTTCTCTCTAATATCAATAAACAGAAAATCTATTATGTTCTAGGTGCTTGGTAAAACATTGTGATAAACCCTGTTGTCAGGGATTTTATAATCTGGGTAGCAAAAAAAGCAAGAGATACAAAGTACTGAGACTATTCTGAGATGAAATAATGTTTTCCATAGCTGGGCCAGCCGTATGGGGAAGGTGGTGTTTGAATAGCAGTTTAAACAAGGAGAAGGGATTTGCCGAATTGAAGGGATGAGGAAGTATGTGTCAAATCAAGCAAAAGGTTAGCAGGTAACCAGTCCCAGGAGCCCCAGCAGCTGGCCTGTGCCGAGAATACTCCCAGCTCCTTACGCTCCTCCCTACGAGGGCGGGTGCAGCCCTGGGAGAAACCAGGATAGAATGTGTCAGTTCAAGACCAGGGGAAAGGTTCCAGAAAGGGGAAGTTATCAGATAGATGAGATTAAGAAGTAGAAGTTGGTAGTTACAGATTAGTCACGGGGATATACAGTACAGCATAGGGAATATAGTCAATAATACTGTAATGCCAGGTGGTACAGGTAGGCACTTGCAATATCAGGGGGACCACTTTGTAAAGTATATGATTGTCTAACCATTATGCTATATACATGAAACTAACACACAATAATACTGAATGTAAACTGTTAACTGAAAAATAAAATTTTACAAAATGAAAGAGGGAGTTGTAAATGGTATTAGAGGTCAAGTAAAGTCTTTGGTTTTAGCTTTTACAGGATCATTGAGGGCTGTGGCTGAGGGTCACGTAAGAGGTGTGAAGGTCACACTGATACAGATTCCCAAGTGAGCGGGAGAGGAAGCAGCAGGAATAGAGCATGTAGGAATACAGAAGTACATTTGTCTGCGAGTGGCAGAATAAGAGCCTTCGGGAGAGGAGCACACAGAGCCAGCAGGGTCCCCTTGCCCTGCCGGGCCACTGTCTCCATTCTGGAGTTTCTTCCTCCCTTTGAGGGCTAAGAAAGAACTGAGGGAAAGTTCATATATAGTGGGAGTAAAAGGGAGAGAAGTCTTGAGAAGGAGGGAGTCAAGGTAGAAGCTTAACTGTGGGCAGGGGAAGGGAGCACTCCTGGGGGACTGAGAAGACTGGAAAGTTGAGCAGTGGGTGGCAAGAGGGCGAGAGAGTGCATGCCCGAGAGCCACTATTTGATCATGAAATATTTGTGACCTGTAAGATCATCCACTGAATAGCGAGAGGCGCATGGAGGAGGACAAACTGGGGAGTGACGATGTTTTGGAAAAGCTGCTGTGTGGAGTGTGAGAGGGAGCTGTGTGAAGTCCTGGACAGTGGGTGGGCCTGAGACCTGGGTGGGAGGGTCACGCATAGACTCAGTGATGGATGTGTGTGCTCAAGTGTGTGATTGTATTCGCGCGTCGTGTTCATTTATATGTTTATATGGGTGTGTTCATAGGTGTGTTGGTGCATTTTTGTGCCCTAGAGATAATTCCAGTCCAGATACAGTGATCGATCATTTGATTTACCCACATTCATGGACATCCATCTATTTTTAATCACTATGCTAGGGTTTCTGAGATGAGTAAGATTATTTCTGCCGTTGGGACACGTAGTCTAGTGGATCCGACCTATAAGGAACTCAGACACTGTGTCGGGTACAGTGTTGTAGTTCAGAGGAGGCAGTGTTAATACATGGATGCAGATGGAGAAGTGGCATCTTGGAAGCTTCTTGGCGGAAGTGACCTCTTAGCTGGCTTTACAGGAAGGGAATGGTTGCAGGTGAGGCATTTCTAGACTAGAGGGAAGGACAGAAATGATTGTTGACTCAGGTGTGGTGCATGCTCAAGGCATGAAGTAGCTGAGAGATTCTGACTCAGGCAGAGATTCAGGAAGGTGGATGACTCTTAGCGTTTATGACTGACTTGGCTTTGTTGTGATGTAAGTCGGGATTAGGACCAAAAAACTTCTGAAAACAAAACTATTTCTTGAGCATTGGTATGACTTGTTTCTTTTTAATCTTTTCTTAAGAGTTGTAGTCAAGTATCTGGTAGGATTTTTAAAAATTAATGTTAAAAATGACAGTATTCATCCTAAAATAAAATTTAAAAAAATTTGCTAGGTATTCGTGCCAATATAAATGTATGTCCATATTCTATATTCTGATTAAATTACAATTTTGTATTATAGTCCATATTCTGATGTCCAAATTATAAATGTACCATATGCCAAAGATACCGTATCTTTGGCCCTTGAAGAAGTATAATCAAACACTATTTATTATACTGTATCATTGCCTCTTTGGAGTATGAAACTTTCAGAGTTATTAAAACCTTGTTTATTTTGTTGGTAACATTCATAAGGGGAAATGCATACTTTTGTTTCTGTAACTACTAAGCATTTTCTGAAAGTTTTTCCATTTGCCTGAGAGAGAAAGTAAGTTGCTGAAAGCAAAAATGCCTTGCTATAAGGAGCAGTCTTGCATGGCTAAGGTAATAGATCATTAGGCAATAGGGGATCCCCCACCCCCAACCTCCAGCTTCACCAGCACCCCTGAAGTGCATCGTGCTGCCCAAATCAAATTGCTCACTTAATATTTAATGTTTCTGCAATGGAATCACTTTCTCCCTCGAGGTTGACTTCAGATTTGCCAGACACACTGACAACACTGCACTCCTTATTTTCCCCACATGACCTCAGCTTCTGCTTAAAAAATGTACGAATAAAGGATGCTTTTGTTCATATCTCGCCTGCCTGTGATATATTGACAAAGTGTCTGCCGGCTGAATGGAATAGTTTTACAGTATGAGGCTGCTTTCAGTGGAGGGGCAGGACTTGGGCTTCAGAAGGAAGTGAATTGGATAGGTCAGGAGAACGTACCATTTGTAAACACCCCTTTCCTTTTTTATTCACGTGTCAGGACAGCAGGAGCAGGCTGTTCAGTGCCAGTCCCTGCACAGAGCCGGAGGGAAAGCAGCTTGGAAGTCAGCTGCGATTTTTTAAACCTTGCTTTTCTCCCCGGCCCCGGTCATGATCTTCAAGTGCTCGGACTTGTCTTAGAAGCTGTTTTGAAACTAACATGGTTTAGTCCACTAACTGCATGTTGGGTAAATTCAAAACCCACATGCTCGTCCTCTTGCAGTGGAATAAGTCACATCTGATGGACATTTTCTGTGCTTATAGCATAGTAATGAACGTCTGACAGGCGCGACCTTTCATAAGACAACCCACACTATTGGCTTTCTGCCCAGAATATTGCTGCAACACTATCTGTGATTGGTTATCTCTCTATCATGCATTGCTTCACAAGGGGAAACGGCCCCTTTTTTTAATAAATCTACGATGGCTGGCTGCAATATGCCTCACTGTAAGTATTGTGAGTGTGTGCGTGTGTGTGTGCGTGCACGTGAAAGAGAGAGTGCGAGAGCAGGCTGACATGAATATGACTTAGCCTGGTAGCACATGGCAAGGTTGTGAGACTGTAGGACATCTGTGAAGTGCTACTTAGTAAATCTTAACCTATCTCTTTTTTCTACAGGTTGGTACTAAGAAGTGCCTTTCCTGACGTCTCTGCTGCTTGGAACCGCTTCTAGAGCAGTCTCTGCTTTTGCCTTGCTTGCTGCCAGCTAGACTGTGACGACAGCACATCCGCCCTCCACCTCTAGCCCAGACACCCCCATTTCTACTTATAATCAAGAGAAAAGCTCTAAGTATCTGGCATTGCCCTAGGCTGCTTTAGTTTTAAAAGAAAAGTTTGCTGAAAAAACTAAGATATCTTCTGCCAGGAAATCAAGGAGGAAAAAAAAAAAATCATTTTCTCGATTTTGCTCTAAACTGCTGCATCTGTCTATGCCAAACTAATCAATACCGATTGCACCACCAAACTCCATTGCAAATTCAGCTGTGAGGAGATTCCCTTTCAGACAACTTTGCTGAAAGCAGCTTGGAAAATCGGTGTCCAGGGGTCTGCCACGTTTTCATGCTTGCATTTTGGGCTCAAAATTGGCACTGGGACGGGGTTCCTGAGAGCACAAGGCTGATTCGAGGCCCTACTTTTAAACATTCATCTACTTAAGATCCTAGTATTTCTCTAAAAACCAAAACCTCTTTGAATTAACAGTTTCATGCTGTGAATTTCTAGTGGGAGATCTTTTCCTTGATATCGACAACACAATTTCCCATGTACTTTTAAAGCAGGGAGTGGGGGAAAAGTATTTTGGAGGGGACATTTTCATCATCATTTTACAGTTTTGTCAGTTCAGCATTTTATTTTATTTTTTGGTAGTTGCTGTTTTTTTTTGTTGTTTTTTTTTTTTTTTCGGGGGGGTTGGGTTTGTTGGTTTCACTGAAAATTTTAACTACCTGTAAAATCTAAACATGGCTGTTAGTGTCGCACCAATTCGGGACACAAAATGGCTAACACTGGAAGTATGTAGAGAGTTCCAAAGGGGGACTTGCTCACGGCCAGACACGGAATGTAAATTTGCACATCCTTCGAAAAGCTGCCAAGTTGAAAATGGACGAGTAATCGCCTGCTTTGATTCATTGAAAGTGAGTAAATATTATATTATTTTAAGGATACGCAATAATTGAATGAAGGGGGTATGGACACAGAGTTCACTGAGTTTGGAATTATGGATTGCTTTGTTAATAGTTCAGTTCCACAGTGTGTTCTTATAGATGATGCTGGGGTTGGGGGACTTGAATGAGAACCAATAGAACCAAGACTGGTCAGACTTGTTTGTTATGAATAACTTGATCAGTCCTTTAATGCTACAATTTTTTTTTCCTAGAGCAAAAAGAGTCAGCTTGTTTTTTAGCGTAGTAATAAGTCAGTGTGTGTAATAACAGAGTCAGTGTCTACCTATAGAAATAGTAAATGTACATACGTTGAGTGTAGCATAGATTCTGTACAGGGCCATGGCAGGAGCTGAATGAAGATGATTTGATTTTGCTTGTTTCTAGACGCTGCGCTGCTGTAAAAGAATAGCAGATGTTAAGTCAGCTAAACTTGGGGAGACGTTTTATATTCATATTTTGACATTATGGATTGCCTTTCGATTGTAATAGCAAATTATTTTAAGGCCAGAAGCAATGCATTTTGTTGAAAATATAATTAGAAGTAAGGTTCTGAACTGCTGCCACAGCACCCTATCTGAGCCATAAACTTTGTTGAATGTGAGTTTTATAAATAAGTAGAAACTCTAAAGTACTATTATTAACTGGATATTTTTTAGCTTCTGAAATTTGAGTGTGAAGGCACATAGCAGTTTATTTTCTGTTAGATCCCGATTGTTATTATTTTACTTGTAACAGTCTCACCTGGAAATATTAGAAGTTAGCTTTTGTAGGCACCAGAATATTAAAAGATTCACTTTAGTATATCTAGACATTCAAAAATGTCATGGTATTGCAGGTATCAGGTTTGAAAGTGGTTCTTTTAAAAGACAACCTGCATGTCTTTATTTTGACATGCAAGGTCAAGTCTAGAAATGTGGAGATTCCTGGGTACTTTGTCTGTTTGGTTTAATTGAATTGCCTTTGAATACTAATGTGCCAATATAATTCCCTCTTTGAACCTTTGAGAAGGGAATCTGTCATTTCTATATGTATAAACAAGTAAAAGTCTCGTAGTTTTATCCTTTGTTTTGCCAAAAAAAAAAATAGTGCTATAATAATAATGCTTTGTCTAATAAGGGTGAATTATTAGAAATAGGGGTGAATTAACTGAAATAGTTAACTCATAAGTCAAGACACAATTCACCCCTTAACTTTAGAGTTAACTCTTTCAGTTAATTGCATTTGGTCCAGATTGGGGTGCTCACTTTGCTTAAGTTTTCTCCAAAGACTCAAGGATATCATCTTCATAGTAGAATTAAAAAAGAAGAGGTATTAACAGCAAAGATAATTTACAATGTTAGATCATTCTTAATGTCATAGCCCTAAAGATCATGAAGCAAAAGTTATCAATTGTCACTGGGCCCCTTTTAAGCCATTTTCTCTAAAGGCATCATTGAAGGGCACAGTGGCCATACCTCTGTGAATATGTATTCCTAAATTCATGCCGACTGAGTTTAGCTGTAATTAGAAACTGAGATCCATAAAATGAGGGGCAAAGGGCTAATTGCACTTGTCGGTAAACAGCTGTGTCCATAAGTAGCCCGATTTTGACCCAATTACTAGTAAATCCAATTTTTAATCCTACGGACAGTCGATGGTGCACTGGTAGCTGCAAAATGAAGGACATTTAACTTGGCTGTGACATTGAGTGGTTTCACAGAAGACTTGCCTCCACAGCATTGGGAAACATTGTGAAACATTAAAATTCAGTTGCTATTTTACCATCTCAAAATATTTTTTTTAGTCGCTGCTCACTTGCAGAACAGTCCCCCTTTGAGTCGAGCAGCAGAATTGCTTAAAGACGTGCTGTGTGGTTAACAAGAGTCAACTGCCACATCAAGGACTTTTTTTTTTTAAAAAAAAACAACAAATAATTTGGAGATTTTAAGTTTACTTATGAAATGAACTTATTATAGCAGCTGATCAAGGCAAACTTTGTCCTTATTTTTTGTCTTTCTAAGAGAAACCGAAATTTATAGTCTAAAACTTGAAAAAATGTCTTGATTTCATAAGAGAAAGAAAAACACAAATGCATTTGTATTGAAGCTTCATTCCCAGATCAATAGCCCCTTAAATGTGAGGGAAATAATTAAAAAAATTTTGAATATGAATTATTCATGCTTCAGAAATGATTTTTTAAAAAATATTTATATTTTTGTAACACAATATGATTCTTAATACAGTATTTGAAATCCTACCTTTTATATATTAATCTTCCTGTGTTCAATTTTGTGGCTAAAAGAGATCAAAAACATATTTTAAAACAGTTAAAGTAACTCTGTGACTCATGCTTGAAGTTCTGAAATTTGGGAGCATTATGAGATTTCCATGCCAGTAACTGCTAGATCATTTGTATTGTCTCAGAGAGTAAACGGAAGGAATTTAGAAAACTTGTAATATCCTGACTTCTTTAATAAAATGTGTTCTGTGTATTGCTGCAGTCCACAGTCCAGCCTTCTCTGAGTTCTTGAGGCATGAGATGGAGGTAGCCTGTGTAATCTACTATTTTTAGCAAGTTAGGAAAGCAAACCAAATACTCTCTGAGAGGACCCTGTGAAATGGCTGTACCCTTCAGCTGTGCTGCTTAGACTTTGGCCGGGCTCCCAGGTGACTTACGTTTATAGCAGACTTTTACTTAGAAGAGGAGAATTTGTTTCATTAAAAACAGAAGTCAGACAGTTCAGAAAAGTCGTTATGTAAAAGAAATCAATTGGCATATTACTAAAGGCAATAGGAAGAAAATTAGCTGAGAGTATTTCAGTTACATATTGATGATTTTAAAGTTTAAATAATGAATTTAGATTAAGTTTACTACGTGAAAACAGAATCCTGGATCACAATAAATGTGTTGCTAAGTAAAAATGAGGCTACATGATAATGAGGAATATATATGAAGTATATTAGAAGTGGAATGATAACATTAAGAAAGAGCTAAGGCTGTAATAATGTGCACTGGTTTATAAACTAAACAATATTTTAAGCACTTAATTTTTCTCACTTAATTTCTTTTAAACTTTCAGTTTTAATGTACAACACTCTAAAAGTATATTGAAATTCAGAATTAAACTGCTTCCAAACTATAGATTTGAGTGTTGCTACATCAGAAACCCTGAATATTTGAAACATTATTTTATGCTAGAGAGGGTTTTTTTTTCTTTCTTATGGCTTCTGAAATAGATAACAGAAAACAATTTAAAGCAAAATATCAACACTGCAAGCTGCCATTAGAACATTATATGTCAGATGATTATTTAGTTAATAGTTAATGGCAAGTTACCTACTTTTTCAGTAACAATCTCTCAACGGGTATTTACGTAGTTATGTAAAGGTGCCTATAGAACATATTTTAATGTGATGCCAAGTTATTTGTATTATACAAAAGCTCTCACCACATGATTAGCAGAAATAGACTATTGCTTATTGATTCTTCTTTTTTTTCAGATGCTGGGGGGTGGGGAGATAAAACCTTTATGTTTATTTTCTGTTTTCCAAAAATTTAGCAAACTCTTTTGTATTTGAAAACTATAGTCACTTGTTCTCTGATCACATGAGGCAATTTTAAGATAATTAAGCATTTATTTCACTGCTAGACACATTTATGCATATAGAGAGCACAGCTGATCGAAGTGATCAAGAACCTCAGAGATCAGATCCCACTGCAGAGTGTCATAAAATCCAGGGCACTGAGTGTGCATGTTTAAAGTGTAATTGAAGACCTCGAAGAGTATATGAAGTACAGAAATCAGCTGTTAGAAGACACAAACAAGTGAACATCCAGGTAAATGAATAACTAGAAAATCAAAGTCAGTGAGGCAGTTCAGGTCAATGCTCACCTAGGACTAGGCTGGCATAAAGACATTATGGAGTGATCCTGTAGGTCTTTAGAGTTAAAGACCCTCCATTGTCAGCACAGTGTATCTTCACCCATTGTTCTCTCTTTCTAAATCCGCAGCATAGACTTTCTGTCCTGTCTTTTCAGCTGGCTTAACTGATAATCCTGACAAAGTGATATCTGCAAGTTTCATCCACTTTTCAGTTACAGCTTGGACTGGGCAGGCTTCTCATTGGAGTGACATTTACCAGTAGTTTTGTTGCTGTTCTTGTTTGGATATTGTTTGCTGATGGCATCTCCTATGAGATATTAAAACTTGGACATATTCTTCTATATAGGTAGATGTTCAGTATGTCTTTCAGTGACAGGTTGACACAGGACTTCCTTCTTTTCCCGTAATGACTTCAGAGGGGAGCTAACTGCAAGACATCGCTTACGTAGTAGTGTGTATCATGTCCGGGTTCCAGTCATATTCTCTAAGCAGAAAGTTCATGACTTTGTAAAGAATACCCTGTGAATGCAGTGTGATGTCATCAACTTGGACATGGACTTTTCTTTAATTACATGTTCAATGGCTATAGCTGCTTTGGTAATAAAACTTTATTCATTTACCTATTTATATTCTTATAATTAGAATTTTTTAGAAACATTTTTTCAAATGAGTATAGATTTTTAATCTTTTGGACAGATTTTAAGCCAGGTTTTGAATCTTGCTACCTAAGGCACTAATTCTAAAACTAGTTCATTTGTTTCCTTCCATACAATTTTGGTATTCTATTTTTATGTTTCCTCGTGTAAACCTTGCTTCAGTTTGTATGTGTGACAGAGTAAAAACTACAATGTAAGCCTAAAGCAATGTGCACTTACAGTGGAGTTCAAACTTTAATTGTAAAGCCGACTTACGCAAATCTCTGATTCCACAAACAGCCTCAAAACAATAAAAGACTGTTACTGGCTTAAAAGAGTCCATGCAGCATGGGGTCAGTCTTCTAGTCAGGAAGTGTGTGACACACGCCCAGTTCACATGAGAGGTGAGAAATGGAATGTCCCTCAGACCCAGAGCAGACACCTTGGGACCTAGTTTGGGAAGCTTATCCTG